TTTCCCACTTCGCTTGGGAGCCTCCCTACCCACGAGCCGGTCCCCCCGCTTCTGGTTTTAAATAAAAGCGAGCGAGAAGCAAGGCGGCGCCTGGAAAGGAGGAAGGCGGACACGGGAGGAGGCGGGAGGAAGTTTAATGCCATCCGCTTTTTAAACAAGAGTTAACCTTTAAGCTTTAAAGTAGCCGTCTTCTAAAATTCCAAGGGCCCCCTCCCAGGCCCCCACCAGCTGCCCCAAGTCTGGCGAGGTCCTCGTGCCACAGTCAGGGGTGGTTTAACACACAAATTTCTTCCAAACCCGCTTAAGTCTCGTAAAACCAGTTTCTTCGTGTATTCTTACAGCTGGATAACAGCCTAGCGCCCGGGCTCGTTAACAGTACCGAAAACATTTTTGCAAAAACGGCAGTCGGTATTTACATCGAAGTTTTCTTTAGCTATGAAGAACATCACGTACATAGAAACGCCGTGCGCATTCAACATACAGGACAGCTTATACGAACTGAGGTTGACTGCTGTGTTCAGTATGATAATAAATATGAATAAAACCTAGCGGCTGGCAGGGCAACAAAAGACTGAAAGTGTTTTTCTTAAAAAAAGTTTTAGACTTGATATTGAACTGTCTTGATTAAACAAACAAACAAAAAAAAATTACTCTGCTTTTTCCTTGTCAGGCTGCAGCCTCAAAAAACGCAATCAGTCCATCTTGATCACAGCCATCCAGTATTTCCAGAAGAAGAGGAACTTTAGTTTTCACATTGGTGCCTTTAAATTTAAATTTATCTATGAAGAGATCTGTGATCATACCTGCAAAGATAAAATCCCAGGACTTACTATTTGCCTTGTTTTCATTATGAGGTATCCCTACTTCTAACTCATCGTTACGTACCAACTATTTCAGTTGATTCTGGGCTTAGAGACAAGACTCTTTTTAAACTGCATGTTTCAGACAGTGATTTACTGTTAAACGAAGCCCAAATGCTGTTAGAACAGCCCAGGCTCCAGCTTCATTCCAAAGTGTGCATCTCTGCCTTAGAATTACCTGCATCTGAGACACCAAAGAGAGAGGAGCTACCACAGGATGGGCAACGGGGGCTCTTGGCTCACGCCGCGTACGCACAGCCTTACTAAAGCTGGTGCCTGGCAGAGATTATTTGAGCTGAAAGCTGTACAGGGAACACTGGGGAAGGTTACACAATTTCCTTCACCAAATTAGATCATCTTCGAGTCCCCCTTCCCACCCCATGCAGGTTTTTCTGTTCTTCTGACATTTAGCAAAAACTTAAGTCACTTGGAACTTAATTACTCATTTAACTTGTATACATTCTTCAATGCCATCCTGAATTTGAATACGATCCGTAACCATGCCCTTAAGGACAAGGATCATCCGAATACAAGAAGCTGTCTGCTAAACCAAAAGTAGAAAAGTCGTTTGCAAATAATCCTGGCATTTCCATTCTCAGTGATACGCTTGCGATGCCAAATCAGTTTTAGAAGCTCTCAGGTGAACAATTCTTGAGAACCTTTGGAGCGTTACTCAGAATCTGTAGTGGCATACAAGCCGTTTTCAGTATGTGCTGGGTTTTACTGCCCCACCTTTAACTTCAGATTTTTATCATCAAAGACATCGTGTAAATACGCAGCCTTGGCCGTATGACCAGACACACATATATACTTACACACCAACTGCTGTCCCAAAGCTACCCAAGTGTACCCACTTACCAAATCATTTCAGTTCTGCTAATATTGACTTCATAACTATTTCAGTCGTGTCCAGCGTGCGCTCTGGACACACAGTTGCATTTAAGCAAAAAGTTGAATTGATCAACAAACCATAAAGTCTCTCGAGATGTGCAGGTTGTCTCTTGTATTCCTCAAGCAGCTGATCTGCCTCTTCCAAAATGCTGCGGTATTTTGGTAGCAGGAAGTCCACGTTTCCTTCATGAACTTGTAATTCCTCAAAGACATTTTAAATTGTAAGAATTAACAGCAGTTAAGTATCATAAGAGCATAAAAGTAAGAAGAAATTAAGCTTGGGGCTGACAGGAGGAAGTACTTCAGAGACAAGACAATCCCCTTCTAAACTAAATAATAACTGAAGTTATTTTCAAAGGGCCTCATTTTCGAGTCTTCTAGTGAAATGCCAGATGTTACCCATCACTTCATAGACTAGGTTCTCAAAATCCTGCATATTACAGCTTCCAGTCTGGAGTACTGCCAGAATAGGATCACGCCACAGCCCAGCCCTTACAGAATCAAGCCTAATGAAGGCTCAAAGCTTTCATCATGTCTTCATTTTTAGAATAAGTATATTCCTAGAAAGAGTGGCACATGCTGAAGCCTGGAGGTAAAAGTAAACTCTGAAAGTATCACTCAATTTCTGACAGCAAAAAGTTTTAAAGAGCTCTTCTAAAATGTCCCAGTCTACCATCAGACCAATTTAAGATGGTCGATAGTATAGATCTTTTATCCTTTTATTATTAGTACAGATCTTTTTCTCTTTTTATTCTTTTAGAAAGGCTGTTCTTTTCTAGATGAAAGGTAATTATGCCATGCATCACGAGTCTGCTGGGATGACAGCTTTCATCAATCATCAGATTATTTTACTGCCTAAGATTAAGTTATTGTCCAAAAAAAGGAGGGACAAAAAAAAAAAAAAATCTGTTGAAAAAGATTTGTCAAAGAAGATTTGCTGCCTAAAAAAAGCAAGATGTGCAACATCATTATTATTGCACAATCATAACATATATTAAAGAATAAATTCTCTGTTATTCTCTACCTCCC